GCGCGGACCTCCAAAAGTTTATCTTGATGCGGGTTTTTGTTTCTCCTTTCCCCGCGGTGTAGTTGAGGGGTGGGCGAGCGGAGCGGGTGGTGGAGGTGGGGGAGTGGGCGAGGCGTGTGCGGCGGGATCACCGATCCCGAGATGATACAGTCAGCATTGGTAGCAAGGACGATCGTCTTCTCAAGGGTGCCCTTGCGTCCTTGCCTCCTCGATCATCGTCGGTCAGACCTCAACCACTTTCGAGGGCCAGCCCCGCTCGAGAAGCTTCGGGATGGGCGTCCAAGGCCCTTGCATCCTCATCGTGCAGCCGTACTTTCAATTTAGACTTGATTCGGGCTTCATTGCCACCACCACCAAGATCCAGGATCATCTTCTCCCGGTGGAGGCGCCCCCAAGTGCTGGAGTTGGTGAAGTGGACTTACAGGGTTGGTCTCTTGCTTCACTCCTCCCCAATCTCGGTCTCTGTGTTCCACTGGCGCAGTCGCGTGCATGCCCTCGATGGAAACTCGGCAGCCTGAGCCGAGGGATGGCCGATGACGGGTCGGATGAGGAGGAAGCCAGCTGGGATGTCTCGGAGACATTTGGGCAACGAAGAAATATAGGATCGTTTGCGCCGACATTCGCGCGTAAGCTGCCCGCGTGGGGTCGCGCGCAAGCGCCCGCATTTCCAGCATGGCCTGCCGCGCTGGCTGCCCGCGCACGCCGCCGCGTGAGGTACAGTCTTGCGAGTGCATGTCGGACCTAGACACAAAACCGCCCAGAAATGTTCGATCTTCCCTCGCCCGAAAGGGGAAGGTCAGAGGCACCAACTTTTCAACCGTGGCGTTTCTGTTGCTCAGACGGCTCCCGATGGCCGCTTTGGGGCTGCAGGGTCATCAAATTTGCATCCGGGATGGAAGACGAATGCGACCTGAGAATGAAGAAATGCTTGGGGGGGTCACAGCGCTCCCCTGGGAAGTGGACGATTCAAATCACCTTGCCGACGGACCCAACCATCTGTAGTTGTCAGTACCGCGATTGTGATATCGTCTTCATGTGGAGCTCCCTATGGAGCGACGGACCGTCTGAAGGGTGTGTCGAAATAGGTGCGGAGGACGCATGCGAACTGCAAAACTGGGGCCTTCGGTGGAGCTCCCGAAAGGGCCACGAAACGTGTGAGAGGTGTGAAGGTGTGCCGCAATTGATGCGGGGGACGCATGCGAGAGACGCCATTGGGGCCTTGGGTGGAGCTCCCTATGGGGACATGAAGCGTGTGAGGGGTGCGCTGGCATGGGTGGCGGGTGGCGGGGACGCATGCGAACGGCACCACTTGTGCCTTAGGTGGAACTCCCAAAGGTTCCACGAAACGTGTCGGGAGTGTGCCGAAATGGGAGGCGGGGGCGCATGCGAGCGGTACCATTGGGGCCTCAGGTGGAGCTACCCCATGGGGTCACGAAACGTGTGAAGGTTGTGCCGAAATGTGTGTCGGGGTCGCATGCGAACTGCACTACTGGGGCCTTCGGTGGAGGTCTCTCTGGTTGCTACGAAATGTGCGAGGGGTGCGCCGAAATGTGTGGTGGGGACGCATGCGAATTGCACCCTTGGTGCCTTGGGTGGAACTCCCCATAGGGCCACGAAACGCGTGAGGGGCGTGCCGACATGGGTGGCGGGGACGCATGCGAACGGCACAATTGGGGCCCTCGGTGGAGCTATCTCCCTGTGGGGCCAAGAAGCGTGTGAGAGGTGTGCCGAGGTAGACATGCGGAGGGCAGATGCAGGGAGGGGAGGAGCCAGGGAGGAGGGGGACACCATAGGATGGTGTTGGGAAATGTCGGGAACAGGACTCCTGGTTCGTCGTCGCCGCCGCCGTCGAGGCAGGCAGGCCCGCAGCCAGAGGTCCAGACGAGAAACATGCTTGCTGCTCGTCGTCCCTGACTAACGTGTTGTTTGATCGCTGGGTCACACTCCTCGGAAGAAGGACATTCACCTATCAGCTACCCCTCCTTTTTTTACCCCTCTTTGGGGCTTCCCAGGAGGCCCTCGTCACGTCGCCACCGCTGGAGGCGCCCCGACATTCTGGTCATGATCCAGCCCGAGAGAGGCCCGGGGGGTACAGTGGAAACCCATGCCGAGAAACGCCCTGCTTGCCTCCCGGGTGCCCTGGGTGTCTTGGGTTTCGATGGTGTTGCTTTGGACTGCGTGACGTTCCCACACCAAAAGTCAATTGACAACCTGGGGTCTCAGGGATGGGTTTCTTGTGGACTGGCCTCCACTGTAGCGGTATCGGTGTCTCTTTGGTTCCCCCCGTGGCCGTGTGGGGAAGTCGTCGGAGGGGGGCAGCGCACGGGAGAGCTTGCACCGCCGGCTGTCCGGGAGAGGTACGGGGTCGACGAGAGCTGCCTGAAGGCCCTGCCGGTGGCCACCCTCCTGGACGCCGGGCGGCGCGGGCCAAACGCGGGCGTGGCACGCGGCCACGGCCGGGCCCATCTCGGGCCCGGCATTGGCGCAGCCACGCCTTCCCTCCGGCCCTGCAGGCTGGGCCCGGCCAGGGTCGGCGCACCTTGGCATCGCTCGGACGTGTGCACCTATTCCCGGCAAGAGCCATCGAGGAGCACGTCGGGCCATCTATAGCGAACAAGATAGACGCACGACGCCGAGGAATACACGGGGAATGGACGTCCGAGCGATGGCGAAGCACGAGGCTGCAGCTCTTTGGAAGTGGAGCTGCAGCCTCGGCGCTGGCGCGTCTGGGGTCGAAGGGCGCTCGAGTCCGGCCCAGGTCCCAGTGCCCTCGGTTTGGCATGATGTGGGCTCCCATTTAGAAAAATTGGCCCCCCCCTCCCGTCGGGCGAGCGCCGAGCGCCCTCGAGCGTCGCCGCGAGCGCGTGGTCTACTCGTGTCCTGCCCGCCACCCCCCGCGAAACTTTGTTTTCATCGTGCCGCTCCCATGTTTGTTTTACCGCGTGCCCACATGACTTCTGGGCCACGGCGAGTCCCGTCGGAGCTCGCCCCACGTCCTCTGATCGGGCGGAACAGTCGCGCAGCGGCGCCACCATCTGGCCGACCACGGAGCGCGGCGATCCTCGGACGGGACAGGCATTGGACGAGGATCAAAGCCGCTCCAGAGCGTGACGTCGACCAGGGCCAAGCAGTGGCGAAGCGTCCGGGCGTGCCCATGAGCCTACCAAACAATGTTCTAATAACCTTTTGTGTGGCTTCCGCGAGATGTTCTTAGAAGATGTACGGCGTGGTTGTCCTGCTTTAACACACCGGGATTATGTTCTAAGAACAATGCTTAGGTGTTTAGAACATGCAGCTTGGGGCTCTCAGCAAATTCCGCGGTAGGCCAAAAGGAATGTCGGGACGGTCGGTCCCTGCTCAGGGCCAGCAGCCGCCCTGCGCACTTCCGCACCTGCGCACCATCGGTCACCCCCCGGGGCGCGAAGCTCGGCACACCTAGCTGGGCCGCCGAGTGGGTTTTCTCCCATGTGACGGCGCGAGGGGCAATCGCTCGTCGCGCATCATCGCGGGGCGGTGCGCGACCTGGAGAAGAGAGTAGCCGTGAATTTGCTTCGAGAAAATTCACTGCGAGAGCTGATTCATATGCCGTGCGTGTCGTTTCGGGTGTGGCCAGAGGTGTCCCGAGGCCAGAGGGCCCCCAGGATCCCCAAGGAGGTCTGGACGGCCTCAGGGGCACCCGTCGCGAAACCCAGAGGGGTTCGAGGAGTTGTAAGTGTGAAGAGGGCACTCCCCTGCCCCTCTGCCGCCCGTGCCGCCTTGTAAGCATGATGCACATACTTTTCATGTTTGTGGCGTGCACGCTGCCCGCCGCTGTTTTGGCCCTAGTCCTAGGGCCCTGGGAATGCACCCGCAGTTTGACCGCCGCGCGGTCCGAGCAAAAAGAACTGCACTGACATTGGTAGCGGAGCTTGTAAGCTCCAGCGGACGCACTGCGTGCTCTGCTCGGGTGGCTGCGACCACCCGCGCACGCCGCCATGGCTGGCAGCCAGGACGGCTCGGACGCGGAAGCGGCGTCCTCCGCCGGCGCAGGTTCTCTGGACCTGTACAAGGTCCTGCGCGTGATGGCCGAGACCCAAAGGGAGATCCTGGCCTTGCAGCGGGATCGTGGTGGCGACAGCGGTCCCAGGCGTGCCCGCCTACTGCTGTCACAGGTGAAGCCCCCGGACTTCGACGGCGCCGTCGGCACTAGCACCAAGAAGTACCGAGAGTGGCGCAACGCCGTGGAGGTCATCCGCAATCTCAACCAGCTCTCCTTCGTGGAGCTGGGCCTGATCATCTACAGCCAGGTGACAGGTCGGGCCAAGGAACTCATCGAGGTACTTGACGCGTCGGACCTCCGGCGCGAGGACACGCTCGAGACCATCTTTGCTATCTACGATGGCGCCTTCGAGAAGATGGATCACGAGCGCCTGGACCAGGTGCATCAGGAGTGGGAGAGTGCTCACCGTCGGGCAGGGCAGCCCATCATGGACTGGACGACGTACTTGCGGAAGAAGCGCATGGAGTTGCAGCTCGAGGATCCCACTTCAGCGATCAGTGATCGCGCGCTAGCAAGCAAGATGTTCCGTGGTGCTGGGCTGTCGCAAAGAGAGCGAGCGCAGGTGCTCTTCAACTGCGGCGGCGTCTACGACTCGAAGCGCATGGAGGTCGTGCTGAAGGCAGCCTACTCGAAGGTGCACGACACCGAGAAGCGCTCGGTGCTTCCTCGCCGCTCGCCGTTTGTGGCGGCGCAGCGTGAGCACGGGCGCTCCTCCGGGAGCTCGGGCGGTCGCTTCCCGCACCCTCCCCTGGCTCGCAGGCCATTCGTACCTCGAGGCCGCCCTGGCCAGCACGTGCACGAGGTGGAGAACGGTGACGACTACGATGAAAAACGACGGCGACTTGGAGGAGGCGCAGCACGACGAGGAGGAAGCAGACGACCAGGACGACGGAGACCCCGGAGGGGGCGAGGGGATCCTCTTCGAGGACGGCGCCGAGGTCGACGAGGAGCTGGCGTCGGACAACGACGGGCCTGACGACGAGGAGTACGAGGCACCGGAGGATCTTCAGGAGGCGTTCTTGGCCGGTTGGAGGGCCAAGCAGAAGACGGCAGTGCAGCGTCAGAAGCGCGGATTCGTTGCCCCTCGGCAGCGGGACCCCAAGAAGATCAACGCCAGCGGCTCCTTCCAGGCGGGTCGCAGGATGACTGACCAGCGCAAAGCCAACAGCCGGTGTGCTGACTACTGCGATCAGTCCGGCCACTGGCGCGGCGACCCGGAGCGCCCCAAGGTAAAGAGTGGCGAGCGCGAGCCGTACAACAAGACCAGGCCTAAGAGTGGCCAGCCAGCGTCGCCCAACCAGCGGAGCTCTGCGAAGCCGCCGGTGCCAAGGCAGGTGCATGGGCCGGTCATCCACTGGGTTGGCATGGCTGGCAGTGCCGAAGAGCGTCGTGGCCGCGCGCCGTGTTGCCGCGCTCCCCTGTCGGTGCCTGCCCGGAGGCATTCGGGAGAGGTTCGAGCTGATGATCCGGGGAGTTCTGCCGGGAACCCTCGACAAAAGAGTATGCCTGCACCGCGTTTATACCAGGAGACCGACGATGGCCCAGAACAGGGCAGCGATGAACGTGCGCGCGCCCTTGCAAGGCGCGGTGAGGATCAGGAGGGCGAGGATGCATGCGCGCGTTGCCATCGCATCCTGGCCAACACGCACGCAAAGGGGCACAGTGTGGAGCTGGAGTTTCCTGACCTTGCGTCGGCCCATCACATCGTGGAGCGTGTGGCGAACAAGAAGCCCATCTTCTTCAAGCAGGGCCGCTTCGAGGCCATCGACTTCGTCCAGGGTCGGCTTATGCGGCTGCAGCTGACCACGTCGAAGCCTTGTACGGCGGCTGAGGTGGATCTCGATGAGATCACGGCGACTATGTTTAAGATCGTGATGGGCGGAAATCGCGACACTAAGCACCGCGACGATCGGCGCGGTGAAGGCGGAGGCCGTGACGCCAAGCATCGTGGCGATCATCATCGAGATCGTCGCGACGACCGCCACCGTGATCGGGGAGCTGTTCTCCGTGGGCCTCGCGCCCCTCCTCCGCCCGAGGCGGGGGCCTCGTCGCGTTCGAGGTCGCGGAGCGCGCCGGAAGGCCGCGGTGAGAAGGAAGAGAAGAAAGAGAAGAAGAAGGCGAGGAGCAGCAAGGAAGAGAAGAAAGAGAGGAATAAGGCGAGAAGCAGCAGGGAAGCGAAGAAGGAGGCCGAGGTGAAGAAGGAGGATGAGGCCAGCGAGGAGGAGGAGGCCAGCGAGGACGATAACGATCAGCGGCGCGAGGATAAGGAGCTGCCGTTCAAGCCGGAGGAGATGGACGAGATCTTCTGCAGCTGGCATCCGCGCCAGGACATCTTTGGGGATTGCCTGACGCCGCCGGCGACCATCCACTTCGCCACGAAGAACGACCGCATCGCGCGCCTCAACCTCTACACGCGCCGCTGCGAGAAGCCGGATTTCTCTCCAACTAGTGGCCCTGCGAAGGCCCATCCAGTATTCGCGGTGGACGCCGCAGCGGCGCCGTCGGCGAAGGGGGCATCGAAGACGAAAGGATCAAATGTTCCGGGAGAGCCTTCCGGGAACATCCCAGACGGAGCTGCGCCAAGACTGCCGTCCGCCGCGCAGACTGGGGAAGCCGCCGCCGCCGCTCCGAAGGACGAGGACTGGGTCATGGCAGGAGCCTCCGAGGACGTGAGGAAGAGCGAGGAAAAGAAACGACTGGAGGTCTTGCAGCGTGACAAAGCCGAGCTGCTGGACCGCCTCGCGCTGATAGAGAAGCAGGAGTTGGAGATGCATACCCGATTGAACCCAGGCGAGGTCTACGACGGCCTGCAGAGGCGACGTGAGCAGGCACCTCCGCCAGAGCGCGCGCTGCCTACATCTCCTGAGCAGCAGGGGGTCGGAAGCGTGTGGAAGAACATGGAGGGAGTTCGACGACGTGCTCATCTTCCAGCGCCTCCAGCGCCTCTGCGACGGCATCTCCAGCCGCATCTGGAGCCCCGCGCGTAGTCACTGCCTCTGGACGGAGCTACGTCATGAGTGCCGGCGCCACGCAGAGCGAGCTGGAGAAGCAGCAGATGCACCGAGCCATGTACGACTCGCAGTTCGACGGCGAGAGGCTAGTCCCAGGTCCGAAGGCGAAGTTCGACCCAGAGCTCATGCAGCAGCAGGCTGCGTGTTCTCATCCCGCTGACGAGCTGAAGCGGCAGTCCAACGGCACCGTGATCTTTGCGAAGTGCAAGAAGTGTTCGTTGAAATCGGTGATCCATTACACGCTGGAGAAGCCCATGTCGGATGAGGAGGACTCACTGCAGCGCGCGGACCATGGGGCAGCAAAGGGCGCGGACCCCTGGGCAGCAAAAGGGGCGGACCCTTGGGCAGCAAAAGGGGGA